AGGAGCGCTTGCAGATCCCAAGAACCCTGTCCCCAAGCTAGTGCTCCTGGATTGAGACACTTTCCTGTCAACATTTTTTTTTTCATTGTACTAAAACTAGGTCCTGAGATCTCTCACCTGGTTTCATTAGCTCTTGTGAAAGTGGGTTTAGTGGTGAACGGAGCTATTCAAGATGCTTCTGTGGGGAGACAACTGTTGGAGGGTCTTTGTCTACAACCATCTTTTTAAGCTTTTCAGCCTCAAGCATTTTGTTACAGAGACATAAAGTATGATAGCTAAGACCCAGTGATGGTGGAGCACAGCGTGCTGCATGAGACTTTTACAATTCCCAGGGCCTGTCCCTGGCGCTTGAGCTGCCTCTTGGGAACCCAATCCCCAAGTTGGGTTGCCTTTCCCAACCTTGATGCAGGGGCTTACCTGCCTCAACTAGATGTGCCATGCTTTGTTGACTTCCATGGGAGGCCTGCCCCTTTCTGAATGGTGAGGATGGAGGAGGAGTGGATTGGGGTGGGGAGAACAGAATGGAAGTGAGGAGGAGGGAACTGGAGGGGAAAAGGAGGAGAAATTGTGGCCAGTATGTAAAATAAATGAAAAATTCATAAAAACATAAAACAAAACAAAACAATAACAATTCCCAGCCTTTACCTCCCCGGGCTTCCAGCAGCTGCAGGGCACAGACCCTAAGGGACCTGCAACTAGTTTTTCAGGACAGTCAGGGAAATTGTTCTAATCAAGACTGGGGCACTAGCGGGGCACCAGCCTTCTCTTTCGGGAGCCCTGCTGCTCCACTCATGCCCTTGGCAGCAGGAAAACCATACCAAACTTTGAAAAGTGGAATTGCAGAGAGTACCAGGTAAAAGGCTTCGGGGTATTCTCACAGCATCTTCAGGTTGGTCCCCTGAGGCACTGTTTTCCACATTGACCCCAGCCCTAGGTGAAGACCACTTCTGTTTTTTATTGCAGAGGGAAGGATTAATTTTGGTTGTTCTTCCTTTAATGATGATACAAAGTATGACACCTATAGGGTCCTTTCTCCCATGACACCCAAAGGGCCACTTCTCCCTTTTAGCGTGCCCCAAGGAACGCTGGGAACACTGTGGGGTAACAGGCCACTGAGCCAGTTTTACCAGATAAATACCTGCTAGCAACCAGTTCCCACAATCCTTAGAGCTGGAAATGGCCTGTTAAGGAAGACAAAATCCTCCCTGCACAGGGAGCCCCAGTCCTCCCTCAAACAGAAAGGCACTCAGGCAGGCTAAGAGGCGAAGTCCTTGTTTATTGTTGCAGCAATTCTTATACAGACATTAGCGTTCAGTTAAATAAGGAGATAGCACATTAAATACATCACAACCCCAAACCAGACAACTGCAGCCACGGCACAAAGAAGGTGAGGGTGGGCCAGGACTGGTGACCAGACTGTCAGAGGAAATACATTCAGTGTGTGTGCAGTGTCAACATTCCAGGCTCACGTGTAGATATATTTTATTTATATATATTTATATTTATATATAGAGATCATTGAGTTTCGTGTATACAAAGAACGATATTGTTACAAATACAATACTATACTTTTCCCGATGTTTTACAGTAAGCGCTAATGCACCCCGTTACAGAATGGGGTGCGAGTTCATACTCCAGGTGCTGTGCTAAGTATGTACAAGAGATTTCATTCCCACACGGTCATCACACACTGCCTTGGTGGAGGGAAAATGAAATCAGAGTTGTGTGCTCAAGTGGACCCTAACCAGGGAAGGAGCAGACGGAGGTGAAACGCAAACCAACAGGTAGCCTTGTGAAGGTGAGAGTTAAAACATTAGCAAGAGGTGGCCCTTGGTTGTAAACATTGGTGACAGCTACACCAGTGGGTGGAGAGACCTGAGCAGGGCTCTGTGGGTGGGTTTTCATCAGTGTGCAGCAGGGAGCATAGGTGTGGGTGGGGCTGCAGGAGGGAGGGATGGGGAGCAATGGGGGAGGTAGTAGGTTACTCTGGACTCCCTGAAGGCCAATGTTCAGAAAGCAAACCCGTGTGCAGGGAGGTGGCAGCCTGCTGTGTGCTCTACCCCCCAGGAGCCTGCTGTGGTGTGGGAGGAAGGTATCGCTCAGGAAGTGGGCTCCAGCCATTGATCTGTGGGGCTTTCTTCCTCTCATGAACTCAAGGCTGATGGCAGCTCCCTGAAATGTTCCCGCTGGAGAAGGCAGAGGCAGCGTGGGTTGTGGTGCAACCTCATTGAACTGGGGGGATGGTGAATCTGGGAGCCTGTCCCCAAAGAGGAGTCACATCATGTCCCAACTAAGCAGGCAGAGTGGCTTTGCGCCTTGCAGTTTGGGGAAGTCTGCTGAGTACATAGTAGGCCTCCTCACTGGGGTGATGAGATATTTACATATGTAAGTATGTAAATGAGGATGCCAGTGGAGACCGACCCCAAGTTTAACCACTCAGCCTGATGCCAACTGAGGAAGAGCAGGCTTCAGCCACAGGCCTGGACCAGGCTCTGACAGCTCTCCCTTTGGGTGAGAGGAACTACTCTGATTAACACAAAAGACTAGGTAATCTTCCAATCACGCTCAACAATTCTCTAGAAGAGCTCACAAGAAAAGCTTGGCTTTTAGGCCCTCTTAAAGCTTCCACGGTACAACAAGAATAGAAAGTATTTTTCTCTTTCCTCTTTCCCTGGGATGAAGACACTTCATTGTGATTATTTGGGGGTTAGACTGGGCGTGATGTGTTTGTGGAGCCTGTCCCTGACCAGTCCCAGGCCAGCCTCTGCTGTCTTCCTGTCCCTGTGCTTGGGCATATCCCCATGGTGGCCTCCTTGGATCGGACAAGCATAAGCCTCTCAAGACACTTTCCAAGTTCCCCAATGCCTGAAATGCCAGCAATGATATCTCTTTTGTCCTCTCCATCGGTCTTGGGGGAGGAGAGCTGGAGTGCACTTTTCAGTGTGTGATTATATTGGATACCCAGCAGATTAGTTAGCTCAGGAGAGGCGAAGAAAATCTGGGCATAGCTTCTGCTCCTCATACTTGCAGGGGTTTGACCTGGGGCGTGGTCACCCAGGAGCATTTGGTTGGACACCCTTAAAAACAAGTTCAGATAGCTGGGCTCCTGTGCTTCCAATGCCCACACGGCTCTGTAGCAGCAGCAGCCCTGTCACTTCTCAGACAGCTGGTGGCATCACTGGGACTTTTGTACTAGAGTAAAGCTGAGGGCTCCCCTGAAGATTCTTGCAAGCACGGGGCTTTCCTGATTCTGCCCAGACAACTCATGAGGTCAGAAGCTTCTTGTTCCTCATCTTGTTATATTCCCATCTCTCCCTTCCCCAGACCCCACGCTTCCCTCCACAAATCCATCCTCCCTGTCAGGGCTCCCTGAACGCCCATCTTCCACAGACACCATAACATAAATGTCCTAGATGCAGAGGACAGGGACTATATTCATATTACAAAATATATTAGTTTTTCTTCCCCTGTCTCTACTGAGGTCATCAATGAAACAAAACAAAAACAAAAGCTCACCATGTCCCACATGGAAACAAACTGCTCTTTGGACCAAGAATAAGTGGGGACTGGCTCAGAATAATACGAAAGCACATGTGCTAGACTGAGACGTTGTTCAGAACATGAGGCACCCGATGGAGACACTAAGCCTTCCACACTAGCTGCAAACTCCCAGACCTCGAAGACAGTAGATGCTGTTTGGGGAGCACATTTGGGGATTCCTAGGCCCAACACCAAGCATGAAGTCTGCTTGATTTGGTGACTTATCTAGTTTATCTAGCCTTTGAAATACCACATCCTCCTGAGTGGCTGTGAAAGGGCCCAGGCTGGCTTAGCCTTGGGGCAGGACGCATGACACTAGGTTACCCTTATCATAGTTTGTCCCTCAAGAACCTCCAGTGTGTATGTGGGGTGGGGGAGTCTTAGAGCTATGGGATCAGGAGGGCCTCTTTCTCAGGGCAAGGCTGGCCGCTTTCTGCATGTGTCAACCTGCTAGAAGGGATCTTCCAGCGGGGGGCACTGGGGGTTCCCCACAGGCTGTGTGCTAGATTTCCAGCCTACCTCAATACAGGTAGAGAGCAAATGAGACACCCTGCAGGGAATGTGTGTGTGTAGTAAGTGCTTGTGCAAGCTCACAGGAAGATAGTACCTGCCTGTGGTTACCCTCAGATTGGTAACCTTGTGACAATCTCGGAAGTCTCAGAGGCCCTGTGACTTCCCAGGATCTTTACAGGGTCACAGCAGCCTTCTCCAGGGTGTTTCTTCCCCTTTCTCTGCAGTTAGGTCTGTATTAGCACACGCACTGAAACTAAAAGGAACTGTGGAAGAGATTTAAAACTGGCTCAGAAATTCCAGGCAGAAGGAATGTATGAAGCCCTAACTAGATAGCAGGCTGCCCCTACTATCTTCCCATCAGATGTGGCAGGGAGGGCGGGAGATCAGCAATTGAATTTTAGGCACTGCGCAGTCGGCTCCTTTGCTGCCTCTGGGAGCTACTCCAGGGAAGTATGTGCCTGGGATGATGGCCCCCTGGGCAGTGACAACCACTTCAGGACTCCCAAAGACCCTCCACAATGATCCCAGGTAGATATTAATTATGCTGTCCTCCACGCTCAAGGGGGCACACACAAAACTTCCCCTGGTACTAAGGACGGAACATTAAAAAAAGCAAACTGGAGAGAGACAGAGAGCAAAGAGGTGTTTGCCCATCCTTCTCTTCCCGTGTAAGACCAAACGCTGGGTGCGAGAGGGGAATGTCTCAGTGGACACACAATGCAGCAGCACAAGAAACACAACCACGGTGAGGAGAGTCCTCCATGCACGCTGCCGCCACGGAGGTGGGGCTCAGATGTAAACAGGCTGCTCCTGGGCTGTCAGCAGTCTGTACATGGCTGCTGGCATCGTCTTCATGTGGATCTGAGGGCAGAAAGCCAGGTTAGCTGGGGCTGAGCCTCTCACAATACACAGTCTCCAAGACAGCCCACTCCCAATTGCCTGACTTGGCCTAGGAAGAGTGAAGCTCATAGGCTTTCTAAAAAGTTTAGGGTGACTGCAAATGATAAAATCTGGGTAAGGCTTAGTTTTTCAGTGAAAGGCTCTTGTTTTCATAACCCTTTGAAAAAATAAAATGCAGCTCCATGGGAAGAAGGGCTCTGGGCTTCTGGCTGCTTGCTTCCGTCTCCTGTCTTGGCAGTGTGGGAGCACCAGCCCATCTAAGACCGCTCTGCTACTAAAGCAAGAACGGAAGCCCCAGAAATGTAGTTAGGACATGATGTGAGTCTACGCCAGTGCTGGGGGCTGCCGGCTTTGTGAGTCTTGGATCTAATTTGTGTCTTCCAACCCCACTTGGTGGAATTAATTGGGGAAAATGAGAGAATTTGGGGGAGTCACAGAGTAGTAACACAAAATGAGTGTGAAAGGCCAGCATGCGCCAGGGGCACACATAGTACCTCAACCGTGTTCAGCCCCAGGTCTCATTCCTACCTCCCCAACAGCATTGGAGAGGATGTGGACGATCTTCTCATGTGGTGTGGCTACGACACTCTGGCCATTGATTTCAATGATCCGATGTCCCACGCGGACCCCTCCTCTCTCAGCGATTCCCCCTCTCATGAGGCTGCAGATCTACCAGAGGTGAACAGCAGATTACACTTAGTGGGCAGCGCCACATCTTTGAACCTTGTGGGAGTGGAAGACGGTCTTCCCTGGGGCCCTCAGGCTCTAGCATGAGCTCCCCTTAGAAGCTGACTTGGTGAGGCCTGGGGCATTTAAATCTCTCAGGTTCTTTTTATGAACAATGGGTTCTGTGGCCTGGTATGGAGCTTGGTGGTTGAATTTTTAACTAGCATGCACAAGATCCTGCAGATGACCCCTAGTGCATATACAGCAGCAGTAAAAGTAGGGTCTGTAGGCCTACTGGGCTGCCTTGTGCAGACTTTGCACAGGGGTATGACAGGTGTGAACTTCCTAGTGTGCTGAACTCTGACCACTTTCCATCCATGTTGGGCCTATCTGTTGGTGGTCAGTGTTTTAGTCAGCCTTCCATAGTCTCAAGCAGGCTTACCCCTGGAACTATTTGATGCCAGAAGCTTGTATTTGAGGATCACTACTGCATGATCCAAAGAGGCTCTAGAAGCCTACTGTGTTCCATGGTGTGGCCAGAGGAGAGAGGTACCTGTTGTTCTTGATTTGGTGGTCCCTGGCCAAACTCACTTCTTTGATGGGTGGAAGCAATGATATAGCCAGCTGTTGCATATGGTTAGGCTGTGACCACTGGTGACTGAACCCTCCTACTGAGGCAGGTTAGGGTGACTACACCTTACACAGTAAACAAGAGTGCCTGTGAACTTAGTAAAGCTGATGTTACACCCTGGACCATGCATCTTCATTATTCAGAAGTTCATGCAGACAAGATCTGTAGCAAGGGAGTTTGGTGGGTCTGGAGCGAGTGAGTTCTCTGGCTCTAAGATGCTCTCAGGCCAAATGTTCTGTAGCTGATTGCCACACCAAGGATCTAGGGCTAGGGCTGTGGTTCCTTGGTAGAATGCTTGCCTGACACATCCCTAGCACATCCTCCATCCCCAAAAAAACCAAATCACAACTGAAAATCCCAAATCTATTTACTGAATGAAAAGATGAAGGCAATGGGCCAAGCTGGAAAAAGATTCAATATACCCACATTTCCATTTTTCAGTATCTTGAAAAAGGGTGTGGTGTGACATGTACTTACAATTCCATTCTGGACACTGAATCCCAGTTGGTAACGAAGGTCTGGTCTTCTTATTAGCACTGTGGTCACCGGAGGGCACCTCACAATGTTCAGCTTTACTCGGGACTGGTTCTTTAAGCCCTTGAACATGAATGAAGTACAGTGGAGCCCACAGAGTCAGGCAGAGTACATGAAAGCAGACATGGCTGGACACAGAGGCAGTACCCACACCTGTAGTCAGGCTGTGTGTGCCTGAGCTGGAGCCATTGCCATGAGGCCTCCCTGGACCCATTCAGTCTGTGTGAGATGGGTGTCTGGAAAATGTGTCGAGGGACCTGGCAAAAGGACAGCTATAAGAAGAGTCTCATGTGGTTGAAAGTTGAGGGTGCATATACACTGTTGGTAGAAAGCCTCATGAGACACAGGCTCTTTTCTCTACAAGGCAGACTCTAACAGCGACTCCTAACAAAGGACACTTCACAGCAGCAGCTCGTTCCCAAAGCTGATTCTCTCTGGTCTCTGCCCTCTTCTTCCCCACTCTGCATCTGGAGACCTCTAACTCATGGGTATTCCCACTACAACTGAAGTTCTGTGAGCAGTTGCCTCCTTGGGATCATGAAGAAAAGGAAACATTAGGATTGTACACGGGTTCATCCTTGGTCGCCTGCCCCTCCTCTAGGCCAGAATGGGTTGTGGAAGAAAAGCTGGCCTTTAATTATGAACAGGGAAGAGTTTTCAGAGCCTGTTGGGAGCTTCCCACACACTGGCCACACCGTCCCTCCCTCAGGCAGGCCTACCTACCACCTCATCAGATACACGCTGAGAAGTGTGGACCAGGCCGAAACCAGCCCAGAAATAAACATGCCCCCTCCAGTGCTGCTGGCTCTGGGGAAGGCCTGTTCTTCCTCGGGTTGCCTCCTGCTTGCAAGAACAGATGCTCTGAGGAGAGTATGCTCAAAGCTCTCTGATTCTTTCCCTGCACGGGCTCTCCAGTGTGGAGAGGCTCCAGGATGTATCACATCCCGTTCAAGAGATACTGTGCAGAGAAATGGTCAATTTTGCACCCTGGAGCAAACAAATCACATTGATGTGGCTGGAGGCCCTGCTGCTACAGCTGAGGCCAGGAGATCAGAGATCTCTGGAAATGCCTGTCTTCCTGCCTGGACTCCTGTCTGCCAACAGCAGCTGACTAAGAAAGGGCTTAGGGTCGGCTTAGACTCTTCTCAAAGGGAGCAAGGGTAAAAGGGTCTTGAGGTGGGTGACTGAGGGAGTGGGGGAGGGAGGGAGAGAGAGAGAGAGAGAGAGAGAGAGAGAGAGAGAGAGAGAGAGAGAGAGATTGAGAGAGAGCAGCAATTTGAGGAGGAAGGGATTTGGGGAAAAGCTAGCTTTTATTCAGGTCCAAGATAACTCCTAGAGATAGTACCCCCTGTGACTTGATGCTCATACTCACAGTGGCATCGCCAGTGTCCCCAGTGGTTTGAAACAGGCTAGGGGACTCCTTGCTGAAGAGAAGTGGAATGACTGAGTGGGCATCTTCTGCATAAGATACCAGTAAAGATTTTGTCCTTCTGCGGACAGCAAGTCTCATTGTCATGTCAACAACAGAAAGAGGGTCAGGCTTTCTGCTCCCAGTAGTGAGACAAGCATAGCTTGGTGAGGAAGACAGTGCTGATGTCCCTAGACCTGAAAGTCTGTCATGTTTCCTTTACCATAAGCAGGGGGGCTCTTAGGCACTTTGCTCTACCTGAATTTCTCCACGGTGAACTGAGGTCTCTGTCAGGTCCAGTTTCTATATACATCTTCATAAATGCCTCAACCTAGGACACTGAAACTCAGCCTTCAAGCTTCAAAACTCAGACTCGGTCCCCAACATCAAAGCAGGTATCCAGAAGTGAGGCAGGCCAGACCTTGGCTACATAATATTACATTTTTCCTAGCACACCTCCTCTGTTCTGTTCACTTAAAAATCACCTACATGACAAGAAATGGGTTAGGCACTGGATACTAGTGGGAATAAGATTCGCCAGGTCTCTTGGAACTGGGGGGACATGAGAGGCTAAGAGAGGGCACAGAGAGTGTGTGTCAGAACTAAGATGGGGGATCCGAGGCAGCTTGGGTCCCACTAAATCCACCCCACAACATCCCCTGCAGACCACACACCATAATGCCAGGAACTTGTGGAGCATGAACTGAGTGCAATGGGGTCTGCATGTAGAAGTCATGGTCCTTCACACAAAGCCACCTGCTTAAATGCTTGTACCCAGCCATCTGGAAGACCTTATGGAATATACCAAAAAGCGTGAGAATAAAACAACTTTCCAAGCATTACCTACAAATTTCCCATTGCTCTGGTGAATTGGTTTAAGATGCCTGTTGGGTCCCTTGGCAAAATAGTTTTTAAGATTGGAGAAAATGTGCTTCAACATAAGTCTTCAGAAATGACAATTTGAAATAACCAGCACATGACTTGTTCTGCTCTCCCTAATCAGTATTTCAAGTTGGGTCCCATTAACTTAGATTTCCAACCTGCCATTTTGTTGGAGTGCCAATTAAATAAATGGTCAGTTCGTCTCTATGACAACAGTGAATGATACAGAAAATTAAGAAATATAGTGGGGAGGGATGAAGCCAGAGTGATATCTATAGCAACAAGAGCAAAACCATGATACTCGAGAAGAAAAGGGAAGCTGGGGCACTAGGTCGGAAAAGAATGGAAGTCTAGAGGGCAGTACTTGAGGGCAAGGGCATGAGCAGAGAGATGTTAGCACAATTCGTCTATCAATGACTATGCTTTAGGAATTAACTACAACTGGAAAGGTAAGAGCTAGGCAAAAAAGAATTCAGAGGGTTTCTGTAACTAGAAACATATTCTCCTTCCTGTAATCTGGGGGAAGAAAGGCTAACGAGCATCCTAGTGGCAAGACGAGAACACATCGCTGTAGACTCCTATCCCTCAGGCCGCAGGCCAGAAGACTGGCAATGCCACCTCCCCCAGGAGTTTGCTACAAAGTGGAGTCCCATTTAAGACTTGTCAGAACAGATAATTCACTTCAACAGGATCCCTGGGTGGTTCATGTGAGCGTGAGAAGCAATGACTGATCAAGATGACCAGGACCTACTGAAATGAAAGCAAGACAGGAAAGCTCTGAAGCCCAGACATTTCTCTGCCATAGCTGAGGGGTTGGGGTGCAGCAGCATGAGTGTCTATCATGGTCCAGGCTCAAAGTGGGGTGATGTCTAGAGAACTGTAAGAGTGGCACTGGTTTTGGGAGTTCCTCAGCCAAGACAAGCCACAGGTAGGCTATCTGACTTTTCAGCTCAACAAAGCTGAGATTCTCAGAACACTGAGAGTGTTAGCAGTTTCTACCTGGACCTGCCTGCTGTGCACATCTCTGCTGAGGGAGGCCACCAAGGCTTTCTCAGGCCTCCTCTTCAGCCGTTGTTGCTTTCATCATCACATTGCTTTTTCATCTTCCCAGTCCATGGAGATTCTGTTTCCAGACATCAAAGTTCAGCTCTTCAAATGACCTGACCTTTCCTCCACAGGAAGCTCCAGGGCCTCTCTTTGCATTTGAGTAAGCTTTGCTTTCACCTTGAGCTGGTGATTTTTGGACAGAGCTGAGTCTCCAGGCAACATTCAAGGTGGTTAGGCTGACCTCATAGACACCATGGTCCCTCATGTAAGGTGGGTGAGAGGAGAGTTGGGGTCTAATGGATAGCCAGCTGGGCACCCTGAGCCTTTGGGGTTTCAGGTAGAGGGTGGCTTATGGGAAGGTCAGGCCCTGACATAAGGCCAGGAGTTATCAGAAATTCCTGCTTCTTAAACCCAGGTTTATTCCCACCTTCATCCAGGTTTCTCTCATTCATTCATTCATTCATTCATTCATTCATTCATTCATTCATTCTCTGTCTCTCTGTCTCCCCTTCCTCCCCCACACCCCAGCTTGGGTTGACACAACAAAATATTATATACTGGGCTTCTAATAGTTAGTCAGGCCAGAAGCCTGAGAGTAGGGTTCTGGTAGTCAGGTGATAAGGGCCCTAATCTGGGCTGCAGACTGTGGGCTTCTGGTTGCTATCATATGGAAGAAGAGAAGCAGAGAGCCCCGTAGGGTCCCTTACATAAAGGCACTGATCCAATTCATGAAAGCATCACCCTTAAGACCTAATTACCTCCCAACAGCCACTAGGATTAGGGCTTTAACATGTATTTTAAAGGGGGCATATTCAGTCTAAAATACCCCTCTCCCTACCTCATACCCTTTTCAGACCTAGTTTAACTCCCCATAAAGTCAACCTCGCTAACCTCACTCACCAGTTTTTCCCTATCACATCTGAACTCTGCACTCCACACACAGGTCCTCAAGACCGGCACAATCAACAGTGGGGCTGGATAGGTCTTGGCTGTGGAGGTGGCTGTCCTGTGCATTGCAGGCTGTGCCTATATCACTGTTTTCACAGTGAGATAGCTAAGACAGTCTCCTGGCTTCTGGGGCATGCAATATTACCTCTGGCTGACAATGTCCACTTAGACACCATCCCTGGACGGTTGGGATATCTTGGGGGTGTCTCTTCACTAGCTGAGTGATCTGTCTCTACCAAGGGCCAGCTGTGTGGTTGCTGTTCTGTGCCTCAGTTCCCTACTCATGCAATGGGTGACATTAGTACCTGTTGCATAGAAATTCATGAGCAACCAGAAGTCATAAGTTCAATGAGCTAATCCACAACTGCCCTCTGGTCAGTGTTGGGTGCACAGCCCTTGGCTTCTGTAACTGTGGGGCCAGTCACCTCTTTTTGCCATGTTTAGCTCCTGGGTGAGGACCTACCCACTGTCTGGACCACACAGCACTTTGCATTTCTCACAAGAACACACAAGTAATCTGTTCATAGGAGAGAAGGGAGGGGGCAGGCCAGTGGGCAGTGGTCCTGCCTTTCAGTAGAGGTCACCATGACAATTCCAGATCAACCTTTGCAGGTCAGGCTGAGTTCTTCCCCTTGACTCCATGCCAGACTATTGTCTGTCAATTCAAGAAGACACCTCTAAACACACTGTCCTTCCTGATACAAAGCTAGGTTTTAACTTCATCAAAGTTAAACTTTCAAAGTTAGATGTTTCCTCTCCTAAACTCTTGTAGCCTTTCACTTCTATGTTGCTACATCTCCTTTCAGCAATGTAATTATCTTGTCCATGCATGGCTTCTCCATGGTTCATCTGAGTACCTTACAAAGGTTAAGTAAACATATCTGAATGAATATCTGTATTAAGCAGACTTTCTGATCTCATCATTTCTGTACAGCCATATGCTGCACAGTGATCTTAGTCAACTATAACTCATATACTGTAGCAGTCCTGTAAGACAATAGTGGAAATGAAAAGTTCCTATTATCTGGTGTGGTGGTCTGAATAGGTATGGTCCCCATAGACTCATATGTTTGAATGCTTGGTCCATAAAGAATGGCACTATTAGGGTGTGTGGCCTTGTTGGAGGAAGTGCATCATTGTGGAGGTGGGCTTTGAGGTCTCATCAATGCTCAAGCTATGACCAGTGTGACAGTTCATTTTCTGTTGTCTGCCTATCAAGGGGCAGAACTCTCAGCTTCTTCTCCAGCACCATGTTTGCTGGCATGCCACCATGTCCTACCATGATGATAATGGACTAAACCTCTGAAACTGTAAGCCAGCTCCAATGAAATGTTTTCCTTTATAAGAGTTGCCATAGTCATGATGTCTCTTCACAGCAATAAAATCCTAAGACACTTGGAGAGTCCATAGGATCTTAACCCCACAGCATAACTCACTCCTCATGTCTGTGGTGATATTTGTGGAGCTCACTACATTGCCAACATTTATGCATAAAAGTATAGCATGTGTGCATGCACGTGCTTGTATGCACAAAATACTTAATAAAGGCTATGTTACTAGCTTACATATATTTATTATGCTGTATTTATATCATTATTTTAGGATGTACTCCTACTCATTAAAACACACTAATTGTAAGATAGTATGCTGTGTTATGCTATTAGCCCCCTCATGGGTCCTATAATTACTGTCTCTCTTGATTTATTATTTATATCATTATTTTAGGATGTACTCATTAAAACACACTAATTGTAAGATAGTATGCTGTGTTATGCTATTAGCCCCCTCATGGGTCCTATAATTACTGTCTCTCTTGGTTTTACCACAAGGCCACAACAGGTGACTGACCTAAATTATGTAAATACTGTGTGATGTTTGGAAAATGACAAAACTGCCTAATGATTTGCATTTCCATAATGGCTAAGGATGTTGAACATTTTTTTTACATGATTCTTGGCTACTTGATTTCTCTGTTGAGAATTCTCTGTTTAGATCTGCATTCCATTTGTTAAATGGACTATTTGGCTTTTTGATGTCTAGTTTATTGAGTTCCTTATATATTTTAGATACTAGCTATCTGTCAGATCTGGGTTTGGTGAAGATCTTTTCCCCTCTGCGGGGTGTCATTTTGTCCTTTTGACAGTATACTTTGCCTTATAGAAGCTTTTCAGTTTCATGAAGTCCCATTTGTTAATTATTGATCTTAGTGCTTATACTATTGGTGTTCTATTCAGGAAGTTGTGTCCTGTGCTAGTGCTTGCACAACTATGTTCATAGCAGCTTTACTTGTAAAAGTCAGAAACTGCAAACAATGTAGACATACCTCAACTGAAGAATGGATAAAGGAATTGAGATACATTTAAACAATGGAGTATTACTCAGTTGTTAAAAACAATGACATTAGGAAATTTGCTGGCAAATGGATGGAACTAGAAAAGGTTATCCTGTGTGAGGTAACACAGACCCAGAAAGACAAACATGGTATGTACTCACTCATAAGAGGATATTAGCTGTAACGGAGGATCACACTACAGCCCACAGACCAAGATAAGCTGAGTAACAAGGAGGACTCAAGGGGAGCGGGGGATGCATTAATCTGACTGTGAAGGAGAAATAGGATGGACATTGCCAGTGGACAGGGAAAGGGGTCTGGAAGGAGAAATGGGTGTGGGGCCAGAAGAGATCGGGCTGGGGGAAGCTGGAGGGAGAAAGTACTGGGAGAGACAACTGGAATCTGGGAGCATCTCTGGGATGAGCTAGAAATCTAGAACAATGGAAACTCCCAGGAATCTATGAGAGTTGACCATAGCTAAGACTCCTAGCAATGGGGGATATGGAGCTGGAACCAGCCATACCCTGTAGCCAGGCAAAGCTTCTAGTGAAGGGACTGGGACGTCAACTCAGCCACAAACCCTTTGACCTGCAATCTGTCCTGACTATAAAGATGTGCTGGGGGTAAAGATGGCACAGGAATTGTGGGAGTGACCAACTAATGACTGGAGACCCATATCCTGAGAGGGAGCTCACCCCTGAGAGCAAGGACCGGGTGGGATACTGCAGAGAACTAGAATAGATCTAAACACAAGTGGCAAAAACCCCAATGAAATGATTCCTAATGATGTTTTGCTATTCTCATAGATGCCTATCCCAACTGTCATCAGAGAGCCTTCACCCAATGTCTTAGTTAGGATTTCTATTGCTGTGAAGAGACACCCTGACCTTGGAAACTCTTAAAAGGAAAACATTTAGTTTGGATTTCAGAGGTTCAGCCTGTTATTATCATGGTGGGAAGCATAACAGCGTGCATGCAGACATGGTGCTGGCTACATCTTGATATACAGGCCACAGGAAGTTGACTGAGATACTAGATGGTTTCCTGAACATAGGAAACCTCAAAGCCTGCCCCCACAGTGTCACACTTCCTCCAACAAGACCAAACCCACTCCAACAAAGCCACACTTAATAGTGCCACTCCCTATGAGATTATGGGGGCCAATTATATTCAAACTACTACACCCAGAAACTGATGGGGACAGATGCAGAGACCCGAGGCAAATATTAGGCAGAGTTGGGATAATCCTATGGAAGAGGGAGAGAAAGGATTGTAGAAGCCAGAGAGGTCAAGGACACTACAAGAAAACCCATAGAATCACCTAACCTGGGCCCATAGGGGCTCACAAAGACAACCAACAACCAGGGAGACTGCATGGGACTAACGTAGGCCCTCTGCACATATTTTATAGTTTTGTAACATGGTCTACATGTGAGACTCCTAACAGTGAGAGCAGGGGCTATCTTTGACTCTGATGTCTGTTTTTGGGACCTAGACCCCCTACTGATTGCCTCATTGAGCCTTAATAGGCGAGGAGGAGCCTAGTCTCACTGTAACTGATATATCTTGGCTGGCTGATATCCTTGGGAGGCCTGCCTGTATCTAAAGAGAGACAGCAGAGGAGGAATAGATGGGAGCAGAATAGAGGGAGGTTTGTGTGTGTGTGTGTGTGTGTGTGTGTGTGTGTGTGTGAAATTGGGAAGAGTGGAGGAAGGGGAAACTTGGTTGGGAATGTATAAACAACAAAAATTTAGAAAAAAAATCGTCTAATGACATCTCTCTCAGAACTTATTTCTCCACACATGACTGTATACTAAGGAACAAGTATACCACAGGGATGCCTGTCACCTTGCCCGCTACGCTCACCTGCAGCCTTGCACCAGCTCCACGGATGAGGGTGTTGGCTTTTGAGGGTTTTCTTGAGCACCGAATGGCTACTGTACAGATGGATTCACTTCCCACCCTCCAGGGTGGTTTTCTCTTTGAAACCCCCAGGACCAAGGAAAACTGAGCACCCCAGCCTGCCCACATGCTGGGTATGGGGTTCTGGGGCCAAAGATGCTACAGTGTCATCCTGGCTACACAAGCAGCAAGGATCAGTGTCCTCTAAAGGCTATGTATGCAGCTGTCTCACAGCTAAGAAGAAAAGCTGGTTCCCCCTCAAGTAGTAACATTCGTTTTCTCTTTAACTCCTTTCTTTCGTGATAGCATCAGTGTGGGCAGACAAGAATGAGCATGTGGACTAGAACAGGTTTTCTCCCTATGACATTCAGGCAGCGGCTTGGAAGGGGCAGGTTGACCCACACCAGTGTTCTCCGAGGAGCACTCCCGTGAGCTCTATAGAAGGTGGTAAATCACCTCACGTATATCTGGCTGGCTATAAAGGACTACGGGTTATAGAGATGAGAAAAATCCTGCTGGGGCTGAGCCTGCGTTACATGGGAGGAAGTGAGTTAACTGATGAGTTGTACCTATGATGGGCATTGGATTAGAAGCAGGTGTTACAGAAGTCTCATAAATTACTCGTGATCCTGACCTATGGAGAAACTTATAATAGCAACTTGAGGGTTAGCTGCTTTGAGTACAAGTCTATACCGTTTGTAGCTGTGTCTTTCTAAGTGCCTGGGCTTAAACATGTTCACAAGCATTGAGGACTGGATGGCAGTCCTAGTTCACATTATTTCAGGTCTGCTACTGAGGAGGTTTTCTCAGGCCTAGGTACCTTGATAATGCTCTGGCAGGTAGACAGAGGCAGGCCCACCAGGCTGGTGCCATTAATGGACATGATCTGGTCCCCAATGTTCAGCTTCCCTGACTTCTCTGCGGGGCCTCCATGCATCATGTTGGCAATGATCACAGTCGGTAGAATGGATCCCCAGCCAGACTCTACAATCACAACTCCCAGGATTTCTCCTTTCTGTTTCTCTATGAAAACCTGCAGGGAGGAAAACACATAGAAAACCTGTATCAGCAGCCATATGGGATAGGTATCAGAGCTGGTCCCCTGCCTGCTTGGGGAAAAGAAAGACAGCTCTTTGAGGATGTCAGTCCAGGTGAGCTCCTAGCGTCTCTACATCCATGGCATCTGGGGTCTGTAAGAAACCATGTCACACAAACCCATCTAGACCTCAGAATTCACCCTCATTTCATATGACCAATCTAACCTCAGGCACAAACACAAGGGGCACCAGGCTTTTCTGTTTTCTTTTGAAACATCAGCTGTCCTTTGTAGTAGTGAGAGGTTTGGTGGCCTGTTACACTTTAATCCATAAGTGGCTTTTGGAGTCTATGCACAGGTTTTCTCATTCCACAGCGCTCTGTAAATTATTTTCAGCATTTAAGATTTTGAGTAAAAAACAAATACATGAAACACTTCTCTGCAAGGAAAGAGAGTGACACTGAAGTTGCCACAGCCAAAAGGCAGGGATGCACATGGCAAGAACAGATCCTGGACACAGATAATATGTTTGTGGCCTCTGGTGGCTGCCAAGGAAGCAAGAGTTAGTACTGGACAGTAGTAGTATATGGGGGTAAGCAGAGATGCCAGGAAAAGAAAGACCTTTTGGAGGCATCCAATGGAGTCTGCATACATATGTACTAGGGCCCAGTCCCTAGTCCTAAGCCACGGTCCCATATGCTGCCCACTCCTCCCAGCTGCTTAAGCAGCAGTGGGTCACTTCCCTGAAGCATTTCCCACAGCCAAGTGCAAGACAGTCCCGTTACACACTGCATCGTTTCCCCTCATTTAAGTCCTGTGCTGTGGTTTTAATCTTAGTGCCTCCCCCAGTGCTTCAACACAGAGCAAAGGTATTTACGGATGCAACTGAGCTAAACTGAGGACACTAGAGCATGCTCCAATCCGATGTGCTTTAAGAGGAGATTTGGACACATGGAAGATGACACTAGGACATGAGGAGAAGAGGCCATCTGTGAGCCAAGGAGAGAGGTGTGAACACAGCCTTTCTTCCCAGTCCTGAGGACTCAGACTTATCAACAGTTCAGCCTTGAGCTTCAGCCCAGAACTAAGAGGCAATTCCTGTCTGTTGTTGGAGCTGCCTCACCTGTGGGGTCTATTATGGCAGCCCGAACCAATGAATATATCCCTGCCCATCCTGGACCAATATGGGCAGAGGGTACAGCTACCTGTAGGTCCCCTTCCCTGTGTTTCACAAAGAAGGTCATGCCCAGCAAGACCATACTCCTCTTTAGTACCTCCCCCAACTCCCCATCTGCTCTGAGTGCAGACTTCCATTGAACCTCTTGAACAAGAATCCTCGCCTAGGACCTGTGGTTCAAGGAGTCTGACTCAAGACACCTAATGGCTCAAAAGCCCATGTTCTTGTTCAAAGCTCTTTTTATCTGGAGGATAAAGTCTAACCCTTTTGGTTGGACTTCCAAATTGTCACACTGTTTCTCCTGTCGGCACTTCCTGCTCCAATTGAGTCACCTCCTTCCTGACATCCTAGCGTTCTAACCATCAGGTTCTTACCCTTCCACTCTGCTGTCCCTGAATATTCCAGCCACCTGGAAGTCCAGGCTGGTTTGGTTGGCCCTGGCACCCTCCAGTCATTCTGCAGAGCTCAGTCGGGAACATCTGAGGGTGAAGCACCTACTGTGTGATCGTGTGATCTGTTTTGCCAAGGGCAGCTGTCTTTCATCAGTGCTTGAGCTGGCATATCACTATTTTCAGTGCCTTTTCCTAGACTGTGGGCTTCGTGAGGACAGAGGTCAGGACCTGTATCCATACCTATAGAATTCTCTCACGGGGCAGAGGCTGTGCAGCCTATCATCTATATTTGTTTTTGGTAGTATATAATGATAGGGTCTCCTGAGAGGAAGCCAGAGAAAGGCATGGGAGCCACCGAGTGTCCTGTCCACACCACAGTTTTCAGCCTCTCCTTCCAAAGCAGGGCTGCCCCACCGTCTAGGGCCCCAGCCAGCTGGCTCAGCCTGGAAACAAGTTCTAGGAAGTACCTACATCTTTGCAGTTTTCCGACTTGGAGAAGTGGATCAGGTCATCGTTGTACATGTCCTGGGTGTTGAGCAGGTCACTGTACTCCTTCTGGCTGAGGTCTTCTGGGTTGATCCCATTGGCCCTGAGGAATTCCTGGTACGCCACACTGAATGCCTGTCCTATGGACTGTGCGATCAGCTGGGCCTATAGCAGCAGGATAGGGGAAGACAGTGGTGAATGGGGAGATTCCTGGCACATTCACCTCTGGATGATTCCTTGTGGCATTTGAGGGTCCTAAATAGCAGGTCACCCAGTCATCCTATATCAGGGTACCAGTGCCTACCAGCAACCATTTGAAAAAAAAATCAGTATGTTTGTGATTATGACTGTGCCCATATGGGAGTCATTAGGAGTCAGAGATGCTGGACATTCTACTATACAAAGGACAGTCATACACTATGACAAGTCATTCTACATCAAGTCTATACAAGCTTTGGATATCCCACTGGACATTCATTATATGTAACACGCGTTTCTAATCATGGTATCCATGACCGGATTCTAATATAAAGACTCACCCTGCTATACTGCAGATTTTAAGAATACTACTACCAAAGTGAAGGAAAATGGTACTTTGAGATTTTATAAGTTTCATTTGCGGTTATGGCATGAATTGTCAATGATAAATTTGATGTGGTATGTCATCCTGTATGCTGTGAGTATGTGTTGCTTTTATTGGTTAATGAATAAAGCCGTTTCAGCCAATGGCCAGAAAAAAATACAGCTAGGTGGGAAATTCAAACAAAGGAGCAGAGAGAAGGAAGGCAGAGTCAGGGAGATATGTCATATAGCTGCCAAAGGAGTAACATACTGGAGCATTACCCATAAGCTATAACCTTGAGTCAATATATAGATTAATAGAAATGGGTTAATTTATGAGAGAGCTAGCCAGTAATAGGTCTGAGCTATTGGCCAAACAAATATACTTAATATTAAGCCTTAATATAAGCAGCTATGGGGACCCAATGGGTAGGAGAGAAACTGGTTCAGTGGGACCAGGAGAGACAGAGAAAAACATCCAACTACACACATCTCTGTCAGCCTGTGCATTCACCATGTTGCATGAAGGTTCTGCTTGTGTTTATAGATATGGATTCTTGCTTAGCCCTCAATTCAAAATGTCAAGTAGAAAATACCTACAGTATTGCATCAAATACAATACAGTTCTCACAGTCAAACTTAAGTAAGCAGGTGCCAACATCTGGCTGCTTCATGACGCTTTTGGGGATGGCTGAGCCCAAACATTTATAGTGTCATGATTTTATCTTAACCTCTTTTCCCCTTTCATTATACTTATGGATATAAGTTATTTTGTAGAAAATAAAGGAAATTGGAGATGTTCAATGGTTAAGAGTGCTTGCTGCATAACCATGAGGACTGGACTAAAATTCTGCCATTCCTATAACAAGCTGTGCATGTCTATAATTCCAGCTTCAAGAGGCTGGCAGAGGCAGTGAGCCTGCTGACTTCCAGCCTGACTGAGAAAATGTGAGTCCCCTGACTGAGGGAAAGACCCTGCCTCAGAGCCATAGGTGGAAAAGTGATAGAGGACGCTACCCAACACCCTCTTTTGGTCTTTGTGCATACAGACATCCCGTACTTGCTTGTTCATGGGGAGGGGGCCTTGCCTAGCCTAGCCTGGCCCAGCCCAGCTCAGCCCTCAGCTACAGAACAATGCACTTGCTCCAGGTTATAGTGAAAACAAAGCCACTGGGTTATTCTTTTCTTCCCCAGTGTAGATAAAAAATAGAGGAAGAAACTCTTTCTTATGAACTCCATGCTAGATGGAGGTAGCAGGGGTCCTGTGGGGATCTCACAGACTGGTGAGCCTTCTCTCTGGCCTGTAGAAGCCAGGAGCCTAAAGATTCTACATTTTTACTCATGAACTTTCCTGGCACCATTTATTTCTCTTGTGCTCCATCCCAGCCACAGCCTTAAAGCACAGTGCAGAGGGAGACAGAAAGAGGCATTGCTGCTAAGACTTGAAAATGAATGTCAGCATCTCCTGGTGGTGGCCACCACTATGGCAGCTCTGGTTCTCTATGAAGTGAGGGACTACCTTGGCCTCCTCACTTCTTGAGGGCAATTTATTGCATCTAGGTAAGCAAGTCCCAGGAGGTAAGGTGCCTGGGGAGGTCAGGTGCTAACACAGTGCAGAGCCACTGTGGATTGGATGAAAGAACACCTCTGCTGTGAATGCACCTTTCTGATTTGACCTCACTTCCTGCTAGAATGGGGTCCGGGATCCTGGCTTGGTACAGAGCAGTGAACATTTTCATAATGTCTGGGCCACAGGGGTGATGCTCCTGTTATTGGACTGGGAGGAGGGAGGACACTAACTGTGACAGCAGGACAGCTCTACACAGCTCTGAATTTCTCTCTACAAACATCCTGGTGCCATGAAGACCTGCTTAGAGTCTTTAGCGTGGCAATTTGGGTCACCCTCTTTCAAAGAATGCTGGCTCTTCCTCAAGCACACTCGGCACTCCCCTGCTTCAGGGCCTTTGCACTTGCTATTTCCAAAATCATTTTATTTAAGTCTCTGCTCAAATGTTACTTCCTTGAAAAAAACTTGAACTAGTTCTGTCCCTCTGTGCATTGACCATGTTTTGTATTACAGCAAAGCATTCCCCATGTATACTTTGTTAAGTTGGTTTATTTATTTTCTACCCCTTTCAACCTGCACAAAGAATAACTCATGCTCTTTATTCAGCTCTACACCTGCAGTTCTAGAACAATGCCTGACATTCAGTCGGTGCTCAATAAATACATTTAATATATGATGAGCCAGACTAATTCAGGTCCTGAGAAACTGGCCACCTAGTGGCTATTCAGGTCACCCAGAGGGAGGTTGGGGAAGCCAGCCTTACGTCCTCAGACTCAAAGACATGGCAGATCATCTTGTACTGTCTTTTTCCATCCTGGGATGGGTGAGAGGCCTCCACATTCTCCTGGGAGTTGGAGCGAGGCATCCGTCTGCGGGCCATCAGCACGACAATGTTGCCAATGTCTGCGATGTAGGAAATAGTCCTCAGAGGGTGATCCATCATAGGCTCCTAGAGGTGAAAGGATGGGGCAGGTGAGTGGCATATAGGACCAAGAACTTAGGAGATGGTATCTTCTTTCCTCACCCAGGCTGAGGATGGAACCCAGCAGCGGTGGGTCAGGGCAAAGCCCTTACTGCCAGACTGAGACATTTTCCTTGGTCAGTGAAGAACAGGAGGTATGTACAGGAGAAAAACAAGAAATATCAAACATTTCATAGCATGTAGACTCTCTGGTGATGAAGCTGAAAAGATAAAATCTAAACGCCAGTGTGTGTGTGTGTGTGTGTGTGTGTGTGTGTGTGTGTGTGTGCACTTTTAAACAAGGCTAATGAGTCCCCTTTCCCAGAGAACTCATTGGAGTGACAGACAACACACATGTTCTGAGTTTTCCTTTGTACTTTAAGAAGTAAGTCACAGTCCTACCTAGCATCAGCCTTTTGTGAACAAAGTTCTTTGAGCTTGACTGGAGTCCAGTGTGGGCAGTGGATGAAGTCCTGAGCGACATGAGCATAGTTACATAAAGGATCCCAACATCTCAGATCTATGGGGATGGCAAAGCCCTCCCTTGGTCCATGTGTTATGTGTGGAGAATGTAGAACCCAGATTTGTCCTCCCCAGTGTTTACAGCCTGAGACTGCTCCCCTAGAGAGACCGCCTACTGAGATGAACCAAACCTGCCTCCTTGTTCAGATATATAAAGTAAACACACTGAGTTTCTAGGCTGCTGGGACATCTCCATCACAGCACATGGTCCACCAGATCTCAGCTGGTGTGTGTGTGTGTGTGTGTGTGTGTGTATGTGTGTGTGTCTCCTTTTTCATTCCCTTGTCACCCCAGTCAGGTTTCCAGGTCCCATCACACAAGTTGCCCAAAACCTGGGGGATAGCCACTTTACAGGCAGGGGGAGCCTATGTGAGAATGCCACTAGCCTTCACCCCCCAAGAATGGTGGGAGCAAGCTGGTACCTGTGTATCTGCATTCAACACTTTGATCCTCTGGGTAGAAATGAAGAGATCCACCTCAGTCATGGGCTGAGATTCACCTTCAGGAGCCTAAGAAGAAAATGCATCAAAAGCAGTTTTATTGTATTACCTTAACCCAGAGGCATGGGGAAAGGTTAGCTCACACACTGGGTTACCAAGACACAGTCACCAGAACGGCAACACAGACTCAAGGGTTAAATTGCCAAAGCTGAAGGTACTACAGAGAGGATAGACACATGGGCAAGAGTTAGCATTTCTATGTTACAGGGGAATGTAGAATCCCCTCTGCTGCTTCCCCTACAGCAACAGATTAACTCTGGACATGATGGCAAGTGGCCCTTTCTGCAAGGGTTCTGGAGGCTGAAGAGTAAGAGCAGCTAACTCATAGTGAGGACCCTGGAACAGTCACTCACTCACTTTACACTGCCAGAGCTGATGGAAGACAATGTCTGTAGTAGGTACAAATGAAGCCACTGGATGCAGTTCTGGTAAGAGGGTCTTCATGTTCACACATCACCACAGCAACACAGAAGCAGCTGCCTGCTCCTGCAGCCACCCCGTTACAAAAGAGCCCCCAATGCCTCACATCCTCAGAGTAATTTACAAATACCTAGAAGCTCTACAATCCCCAAAGTGCAGCCTGGCTCATTTAGGGCTGAACCCTGCACATGTGTGGTTATTAGCGAGTTTTCTTTTTTTGCATCCAGCAATCTGAGAAATCCTCAAATCCAATGTATTGCAATTGAGTAGTCCCAGGCCCCTGCAATGATGTGTCATTGCTCCTGAATGGCTGCAGCTTCCACACTAGAGGGTTCATTTAGCATCTCCAATCTGCTCCCTGACGTTCCTCTGAAGTGAAATGACCAAATGAGCAACAGAAAATGGCCACTTGAGGCAACTAAGTTTGGAGAAAGGCTGGCTTATGGAGCGATTCAAAACGAAATTGGAACAAAAAACTTGCTGGATGCAGAAAACAAAAACACGAAATAATAAAAAGGAAAAACATAAAAGAAAAAGGACAGGCGTAACACCAAGTGATGAAGTTGTTTGTACTGCACCTTCTTCCTGCTTTTGGCTAATTTCTGGGCCGTCTGCTTAGCATGGAACAAACAGAGACAGGAGAATAGTTAGAAAGAGGAACTGACATGCTAACACTGCTTAGGGGCATAAAGCATGTGTGAGAGAAGATGGGCTTAAGAACCCCACTTTAAGGGCATGAAGGAACTTCTTATGCTTCATTGTAATTTGCCGTTTTAAAGAACCCACTTTTGGTTCTGTTTATTGCATGCCTGATTTGTTATTTCACTGATTTCAGCTTGCATTTTTATTTCTCTCTGCTTTCTTTGGGAGTGACTTGCTGAATTTCCTCTCAGCTTTTGATAAAAAGCTACAGCTGTCCAAATTTTTTTCTTCCACTAAAGCTTTGGCTCCCTCTCTAAGCCCTGCTTTAGCTGTCACCCAGTTTTGTGCACTGCAATTTCTTTACTGCCACATTAAAATACTTCAGCTGTGAGTTCTTTGAACCCTCAAATTAGAGTTGTTAAATTAATTTCAACATATTTGGAGGTTTTCTAGCTATTCTTTTGGCATCAGTTATGGGATCAATTTTACTGTGGCCTGAGAACACACTATTTATGACTTCAGTCTTTTTGAAAATTGCCTTAGGTGTTATGATCCAGCACATGACTGACATTGGTGAACATATATGCACTGCAAAGTAAGCGTTCTCAGTTGTTAGCTAAGAGGATAACTCTCATGTGGGCTTGTATGTGTGCCTTCCCTGTTCTTCTATTGACGAAGGTGTGATGAAATCACCAGCTGTCACTATGGACTTGTCTTTGTACTGATTTTGTTCCATTGATCTTTGTTTGCTCTGTTTTGTGGCTGTGTTATAGAGTGCATATGTATTTGGGGTGGTATGTCTTCCTACTGAATTGATCTATCATTTCCCCCTTTTTATCTGCAGCAATAATTTCCTCTTACCTTTTATAAGATGAATATAGTTTGAACCTAACTAAAATGAATGTATTTCTCCCTGTACTTATAATTAAAAGATGACTTTCCAAATCCAAATACCTTTTCTGATACCTACTATTTGTGTGATTTTGAGCAAGCCACTTAGCATTTCTATGCCTTAGTTTCTCTATGTAAAATGGGGATTAAAATGATCTAATAGGGCTGTTTTAAAAGATAAAATGAATACATGAAAAACTCCAAATAGAGCACTGAGCATTATGTCTGTTTACACTTGAAGGATGCAGTTCTTCAATAGTATGTAATGACATGTTTTATGTGAATGAGAGTCAGTGGCCACACTGTGGAAGATGTTATGGCTGCAGGGTGGGTAAAGCTGCATCATTGTGATGTGTGTGTAAGGCTGGACAACTGTGATGTGTTGGAGGGTGTGTGAGGCTGCACTGCTGTGATGGGTGTAGGGTGGTAAAGCTGAGCTGTTGTGATAGTTATGGCACCAATGGGTAAGGCTGTCTAGTTGTGCTTGATGGGGGTGGGTAAGGTTGAACTTTTGTGATGTGTGGGTAAGGTTGGACTGTTGTGACAGGGGTGGGTGGGTAAGGCTTGGCTGTTGTGATGGAGTGGATGGGTAAGGCTTGCTGTTGTTAATGGGGGTGGGTAAGGCTGTACTGTTGTGATGTGTGGGTAAGGCTTGGCTGTTGTGACAGGGGTGGGTGGGTAAGGCTGTGCTGCTGTGATGGGTGGGTAAGGCTGTGCTGCTGTGATGGGTGGGTGGGTAAGGTTTGGCTGTTGTGACAGGGGTGGATGGGTAAAGCTGTGCTGTTGTTAATGGGGGTGGGTAAGGCTGTACAGTTGTGATGTGTGGGTAAGGCTGTGCTGTTGAGGTGAGTGGGTAAAGCTGTTCTCTCAATTCCTGGGGACTTACCTGGTGGAAAAGCTTTGCTGTCAGGAATGCATTTCTAATTCACTAGTGACTCAACTGTGTTGTCTGCTTTATCCCACTGTGGGAACTGGATGATGATTCAGCCATCCAAAGAGCACATAGTTAATTGCTGGTACACTCAGGAAGGACGATGACCCCACTCCCACACAGCTTCCCTACCACGAGGTGAGCAATCTGCTCTGGAGACTCCTGTAGGTGTTTTACCAACCACCTGCCAGTGGGTGTATTTCTGCATCTGACAAGGCCCTAAGCGGATGTGGCTATGTGCCACTCAGATACATGCAGAGTGAGAGGCCTTCCCTGGACGTTCTGACCTGAGTCAGTTTTCTTCTGCCTGGAAACATCTCCTCTTGGATCTTTAATCTGACTCTCTTGAAATGACATGAAATGGCCCAGGAATTCCTACTCCTGTTGTTATCAAAAGCCCAACAAAATTCAACTCTAGGGAACTGTCAGCAACAAAATACCCAGCTTCTATTCTTTTCTGAAACTACAGAAAGATGAAGAAGACAAACTGAGTTTCATGACAGGTATTGGGCATGGTTTTCACAAAGTTGAAAATATTTTATGCAGGTAGAGCAATACCATCTTGAAATCACTTGGATTTCGAAGTATTCTGCACCAAATTATAACATTTAGATGTAACATTGAAAAGATGAGGAGTCAGTGCCTGAATGAGAGATTGGAAGAGGCTAATAGACACCTCGTAAGGCCAAGGATGGCAGTACCCTGGGAAGAGCTATGTCCCTTCCTCTCACTCCAGGCTCAGTGTGCACCAGGCGCTCACCAATGATGGCCCCTCTAGGTTGGTCCCACTGTGGGGAGGGCTGCATCTGGCCTATCTATTCTTTACCCAGCTAGCATCTATTGAGTTATGGTCCTATGCCAGGACCCTTCTAACTATTTCACAGGTCACTGTCAAAGCTCATAGCAACCCTGGAGGCAGGAACTATATAGTAAGACACTCAAGAGGAGGAAAAAAAAGCACAGAAAGGCTAGGTAATTGTGTCATACAGCTGTGAGCAGCAGGACAGTGATTCAGACCCAGGCAATCTAGCCCTGCAGTCTATCCTCCCTTGTGCAGCTTAGGTAGGGTTTTCTTCTGGAATGTCTCAGCTTCCCATAAAATGGGGCTAATAATACCTACCTCCCAGGACTCCCTACACTCCCGGTCTCAGCAGTGAACGAGACAATAGTATATGCATAGGCCTGGCAGGTACCAGCAGCATCCTCTCTACTGATCTCTTCAAGCAAGCTGGGAAGTGACACGCCTCAGACAAAGCAACAGTGATAGAAGAACATTTAATTCTACAATGAAACTATAATTTTTGATATTTAAAAGAAGTCACAAAAGAATGGGAAAATATGAACTCTGAGACAGGCTAATAAAGACAGATTAAAAAAATGGCAACGAATGATCTGAACAAAAATGTGTGCAACACACAATCCATCGCCAGCATTTGTGATGTCACTGCATGAGCCTCACAGATTAGAGTGAGAATGGAGGTGTGTGTGGACACCCAAGGCCTCTGTGCCCCGAGGAGTCGAAAATGAAGTGAGAATCCTGGGAGAAAGGATGACAAGGAAGCTAGCACAGGCTTCAGTCACAGTGCCGAGCTGTGTGGGGAGGGGCATTCCAGAACATAAGGACATGGGGCAAAACTCTCCAGAGGTCTCTCCCACAAATCTTTCTAAGGCAAGGCTGTAGTAGGCAACACACCATGGTCCTTATAGTCCTTGCTTGAATGATATGGGAGCTACTGTTTAAATAATATGGAGGGCATTGCTGTATGGTAGGAATCCTGACCATCACTTATTACTGTTCTATTCACATGTTTTATGTCCTCATGGGTTTTCTAACTAGTCAACAGTTTGTAAAACTCATCCCCATTGATGCATTAACTTTCTGTTGAATCACTTATGTTTCCATCTTTATTTTTGCAAACAACCAATTCTTGGCTTCACTCATCTTTCACATTGTTTTATTTCTGATCTTTGTTATTTTAGGTTTAGTTTTTATTTTTCTAAGTCCTTGAGATACCTCAACAGGGTATTTGCAAAGTTTCTTTTTTTAATGAAGGCAGTCATAAATGTAACCTTAGGGTGTGTTTACTGCATCTCACAGTTGTGTTGTGTTGTATTTATTTCTATTACTTTTATTTGTTAAGAATTTCACCTATGAAATGTAATCAATGTCCCCCTTTTCCCAATAGCTTCCCTTTGTAATGGCATGTCTTTTGTTGTTTTGATTTTGTAACTTACTAAGTCAAATTAGTACTGCCCATATGTGCACAAGTGTGGGGTCATCCATTGGAGCATGGGAAACCTACCAAGAGCCACACTCTCTTGGGTATTTGAATAAAACTGGCCTCCATAGACTCAAATGTTTGAATATTTGGTCACCAGTTGGTAGACATGCTTGGGAAGGATTAGGTGGTGTGTCATTGGGCGCAGTCTCTGAGGTTTCAAAAGACTCATGACATTCTCAGAGTGCTTTCTGCCTCCTGCTTAGGGTTTGAGATGCGAGCTCTCAGCTGTTCCTGCCACCATGCCTTCCCTTTACCCTCATGGACTCTATACTCTCTGTGACTGTAGGACCAACTAAACGTTCTTTTCTAAGCTGCCTTGGTCATGGTGTTTTATTTCAGAATTAGAAAAGTAACTAATACACTCTCCAAGAATGACTTCCCTCCTCTAGCAGCTATCAACTGCCGATGTGAGAACAGCATTAATTCACTGCTCAGTTCCTCAGTGAGCCACTGCTCTGTGTTGTTCCCACCCCTACGCTTCACTTCCTGCTCCATCTGAAATTTCACTTGTTACCTGGTTTCTAGCTCCATCTATCACTGCGATCAGAAAGGATCTAGCATAAGATTTAAATGTTTTTTAAATCTGTGACATAATACATAATCTGTTCCAGAGAAGTCCTAAACTGAGGAAAATGTGTTCTGTAGCTACTGGGTGGATTATTCTATGCATGTCCAGGAAATTATATGATTTATAACTTAACTCTGGTATTGATTTGACTTTAGGAGGAGGTCTGGATGACCTGTTCATTAAGTGGAGTGTTGAAATTCCACAAAATTTCTGTATTGGGGCCTCTTTCCACATGTGATAATGTGTATGAAACTGGATGCTTTAACATTAGGTGCATATTAACTTATGATTATATCT